GGCATTAGAAAACATTTCCTAGGAGAGCTTACGGAAGCCATGCTCTGTTCATCATCATTAAATCGGAAATTATCAAATGCCGCACAGAGTGGGGCTTCAAATGACCGAGAATCAATAGGAGGATAGAATTCCACGGGTTTAATGCAACAAATAATCGAGTTGGAATCACCAAAATCAAAGAGAGGAGTATTTGAGTCTTGCAGGAGTTCACTAAATTTTGACCTCGTTCGTAAGCGATTCAGGCTGAGTTCAACGGTGCCACCATCGTCATAGGCAGCAGCCTGCTGTTGAAATAAAGGGTCAACATCTGCCTCAAACCCTTTAACTTTCGAGCGTATTTTGTTTAATGAAGTGACAATAACTTTTTTTGAGCTTGGAATATGTTTTCGGTCTTTTTTTCTGCGTCCAACAGCTTCTCCTTCAGCATTATTAGCAGAATCATCTGATTCACATGGTGCTTGTTCGTTTTCATCGATACCATCTTTGTTAGCCTTTGAAGGTTTGTCAGAGCGACCCAAACCAGTGAGGACTTTATAGGTTTCTTGATGGACAGCATCTACACGACCAGCATAAATCTTTGCACTAGCATCCAAAGACGAGCTTGCCATCTGGAAAAAGGCAATTAGAGTTACTTGCACTATGTTTAAATGCTAAAATTAATTGACAGCAACGACCTACTCGAAAACTAGTGAAGTCCTCTTTCTTAATCATTTCGCCCATATAATCGATTAGATGAAGATCGAAAGCATTTTTGTAGGTAATTTTGTTTTCTGCAGCTAGACGGATACAGTTACCATAATGTTCACCAACTTGGGTTCTGGGTACAGTTTGAGATGCAATAGCGCGGCGAGCAGCATCGTGAGCTGGGCTATTTATAACTTCTGGATGAGGTTCCAACAAACGAGAGCGACGTCTAGCCATTCGTTCAACATCGTCGTTATTTTCTGTTAAATGATAACATTAGATTTAAACCCGCAACGCAAAAAGCCAATAAATCGGCTAAGACAATGTAAGCCATGAGTCTAGACTAACCAAACGATTTTAATGTTTCCTAAAAATCTAAAAGTATAACAGAGAGCGCTAAAAATTGTGAACTAATAGAATGGCCCAGAGTAAAAATTTAAAATGTAGTCAAGTGAAATAGGTATGGCAAAATTACATAGAAAAATTTTGCGAAATCGAAATATATGAAAGTATAAAAAGATTAAACTAACGTTCATTCAACCCCAAAAATGAATCGTCTAGATCGTTAAAACGTAGCGACTTTCTGGATTTACCATCACTTTTCTGAATGGATTCGTCCGCAAATGTGACATTACTGTTTGCGTGAGCAGAACTAACGACTCTTTCGGCCACAAACATCTCCCGCCCTATGGAGAGAACGCGATAATATCAAGGATTTCAAAGTCAAAACGCGACCGTGACTACGAGGCATTTAAAACGAAGTTTGCTGTAATTTGTTATTCATGTTCAAAATGAAGGTGGTATGTATGATTAATATTTAGCGTCTTATTTATTTATCGTGATTTATTTTGTTAATAATGACGTGCAATGCATTTCCATGGTTATATTTTGTATGAAAAAAATTTAAAATTGCTGAATTGTATTTAAGCAGAGATATCAACATGAATATTTATTCATTTTGAAAGTTTTATTACGTTTATTTCTGCCTTTAATTACAAAACACCTCAGATACTCTTGACGTACTTTATTTTACGCGAACATAATGAGTTTGATACATTCTCACTTCAAAAATGAAAGAAATTAAATTCTTACATACTTTGTTTATCGGAATCTTTTCGAGATGCCATAATAGCTGATTAAATAGCACCGGATTTATTTCTGCTATACATATTTATAGCATTGTACATGGTTATGTATTTTATGATGGAGTATATTATGCAGTTAAAATAAACTCACTATTATAAACCATTCGTTTGCTTAAGTCCGCATCGTGGATAATTGCATATATTTATATGATAGGGTAATTTTATCTTGTGGTCTACTTGTGCCAAAATATTACACATCGTCCTTAACGAAGGTAAACTGCTCTGATTAGTACAACTTAAGAGAAAATTGTCCATGCGAATTCTCTTCTTCTACTGACAGATTTTTTCCCAACGGTTGTTTGAGTAAAGATGATTTCAATCCTCTAAGGTATCACCTCTGCCTCAAATTTTGTTAAAACGCATTTCCTTCACTTAAATGATATTATGAATAAGTATGCTATGTCAAAAGCATTGCAAATGTTGCGTATTTATTTAGATAATGCTAATTCTTCTACTTGGAATAATACACATATATTAAACGTATTATAATGCTTTCAATCCTCCTTAAAATTTACGAGAAAGAATAGGATCCCTCTACTTAAAGTGGCAAGGAATTCTTTTGCAAATATTTGATAAATAGATTCTTTTGTGTTCATATACATACAATGACTTGCTTTTCTATGGCAAGTGATTTGTTTCTTAATGGTTTGTATGGAAGAATTATTCTCAACTTTAGGAACGACGAAGACTTTAAAATTTGGCATTAATTATCTCATCAAAATTATTTACATTTGTTGGTTATTAATTAAGTTATTATGTTGGTCAATAAAGTTAGGTTTCGTCCAACTTTTCCAAATCAAATGCTGCCTCGTGTAGTTATAATTGTAGTCATGACAAACCCATTTGCTAATTTGACCTTTAAGTCATCGAAGTGTTGAGGATACGTAAGTTCACTGATTAAAAGTAAGCACTCACAATGTACTGAATTCGCTCATTTGTCCCCAAAAAATCAGTCGTGTTTAGCATTACGTTAAATGGAACGATTTATCCAACATTTTCCTTTGAAGCTCTGAAGGTTTAAAGATGCGGGGTGTGCGATAGACTTACCTCCACGTGGTGCACCCTGGTGGGTGTGCGATAGACTTACCTCCACGTGGTGCACCCTGGGAAACGTATACTCATACGGTAAAAAGTCTATTAACCGGAAGTTTGTGTGCGATAGACTTACCTCCACGTGGTGCACCCTGGGCAGCGTATTTTCTTACGGCAAAAAAGTCTATCACTCGGCTTTCGTTATATTCATACGGCAAAAAGTCTATTAACTGGCAGTTAACTACGATAGACTTACCTCCACGTGGTGCACCCTGGGCAACGTACTTTCTTACGGCAAAAATTCTATCACTCGGCATTCGTTTTTCAATAGACTTACCTCCACGTGGTGCACCCTGGGCAACGTATAATCATACGGCCATACGGCAAAAAAAGTCTATTAACTGGCAGTTGACTTCTGACTCAATAAAAAAGTCTATTATTCGGCAGTTGACTTCTGACTTCAAAGCGGCAAAAAAGTCTATAAACCGGCAGTTGACTTCTCACTATCGGCAAAAAAATTCTATTAACCGGCAGTTGACTTCTGACTTCAACGCAAAAAGGTCTATTAACTGGCAGTTGACTTCTCACTTCACAAAAAAGTCTATTAACCGGCAGTTGACTTCTGACTACTCAAACGGCAAAAAAGTCTATAAACCGGCAGTTGACTTCTGACTGAAAAGGTCTATTAACTGGCAGTTGACTTCTGACTTCAAATAAAAGTCTATCAATCGGCAGTTGACTTCTCACTTCAAACTAAAGTCTATTACCTGGCAGTTGACTTCAAACTACCATGAGTAAGTCTATTAACTGGCAGTTGACTTCTGAGTTCAAACTATCATGACCCCAAGTCTATTAACTGGCAGTTGACTTCTCACTTCAAACTAAGATCTATTAACTGGCAGTTGACTTCTCTATGTCATATTCGGTCTATTAACCGACAGTGACTTCTGACCCCACTGTATGTCATATTCGACTAAGGCAGTTGACTTCTCACTTCAAACTACCATCACCTCACTTATGTCATATTCGACCCCTTTCACAGTAATCATCTTACCTTACTGTGTCATATTCGACTACTTCCACAGTACTCACCTCACCTACAGTTGACTTCTCACTTCAAACTACCATGACCCCACTGTACGGTAGTTGACTTCTGACTTCAAAGACAAAAAAGTCTATTGATCGGCAGTTGACTTCTGACTTGCAAAAAGTCTATTGATCGGCAGTTGACTTCTGACTTCAAACTACCATCACCCCACTCTATTACTTTAACGGTACAAGTCTATTAATCGGCAGTTGACTTCTGACTTCAATTACCATGATCTATTAACTGGCAGTTGACTTCTCTATGTCATATTCGAAGTCTATAAACCGGCAGTTGACTTCAAACTATCGGCAAAAAAATTCTATTAACCGGCAGTTGACTTCTGACTTCAACGCAAAAAGGTCTATTAACTGGCAGTTGACTTCTCACTTCACAAAAAAGTCTATTAACCGGCAGTTGACTTCTGACTACTCAAACGGCAAAAAAGTCTATAAACCGGCAGTTGACTTCTGACTGAAAAGGTCTATTAACTGGCAGTTGACTTCTGACTTCAAATAAAAGTCTATCAATCGGCAGTTGACTTCTCACTTCAAACTAAAGTCTATTACCTGGCAGTTGACTTCAAACTACCATGAGTAAGTCTATTAACTGGCAGTTGACTTCTGAGTTCAAACTATCATGACCCCACTGTATGGCATATTCGACCACTTCCACTGTGCGGCAAAAAAGTCTATAAACCGGCAGTTGACTTCTCACTATCGGCAAAAAAATTCTATTAACCGGCAGTTGACTTCTGACTTCAACGCAAAAAGGTCTATTAACTGGCAGTTGACTTCTCACTTCACAAAAAAGTCTATTAACCGGCAGTTGACTTCTGACTACTCAAACGGCAAAAAAGTCTATAAACCGGCAGTTGACTTCTGACTGAAAAGGTCTATTAACTGGCAGTTGACTTCTGACTTCAAATAAAAGTCTATCAATCGGCAGTTGACTTCTCACTTCAAACTAAAGTCTATTACCTGGCAGTTGACTTCAAACTACCATGACAAGTCTATTAACTGGCAGTTGACTTCTCACTTCAAACTAAGATCTATTAACTGGCAGTTGACTTCTCTATGTCATATTCGAAGTCTATAAACCGGCAGTTGACTTCAAACTATCGGCAAAAAAATTCTATTAACCGGCAGTTGACTTCTGACTTCAACGCAAAAAGGTCTATTAACTGGCAGTTGACTTCTCACTTCACAAAAAAGTCTATTAACCGGCAGTTGACTTCTGACTACTCAAACGGCAAAAAAGTCTATAAACCGGCAGTTGACTTCTGACTGAAAAGGTCTATTAACTGGCAGTTGACTTCTGACTTCAAATAAAAGTCTATCAATCGGCAGTTGACTTCTCACTTCAAACTAAAGTCTATTACCTGGCAGTTGACTTCAAACTACCATGAGTAAGTCTATTAACTGGCAGTTGACTTCTGAGTTCAAACTATCATGACCCCAAGTCTATTAATCGGCAGTTGACTTCTGACTTCAATTACCATGATCTATTAACTGGCAGTTGACTTCTCTATGTCATATTCGTTATATTAACTGGCAGTTGACTTCTCACTTCAAACTACCCTAAAAAAGTCTATTATTCGGCAGTTGACTTCTGACTTCAAAGCGGCAAAAAAGTCTATAAACCGGCAGTTGACTTCTCACTATCGGCAAAAAAATTCTATTAACCGGCAGTTGACTTCTGACTTCAACGCAAAAAGGTCTATTAACTGGCAGTTGACTTCTCACTTCACAAAAAAGTCTATTAACCGGCAGTTGACTTCTGACTACTCAAACGGCAAAAAAGTCTATAAACCGGCAGTTGACTTCTGACTGAAAATCAAAAAGTCTATTAATCGGCAGTTGACTTCTGACTATTTCCACAGTAGCTCACCCCACTGTATGTCATATTCGACCCCTTCCACAGTACGCCACCACCCCACTGTATGTCATATTCGACCCCTACCACAGTACTAACCCCACTGAATGCCGTATTCTACCACTTTTACAGTATCCATCACCCACACTGTATGTCATATTCGACCCCTTTCAAAGTACTCATCTTACTTTAACGGTACAAGTCTATTAACTGGCAGTTGACTTCTCACTTCAAACTAAGATCTATTAACTGGCAGTTGACTTCTCTATGTCATATTCGAAGTCTATAAACCGGCAGTTGACTTCAAACTATCGGCAAAAAAATTCTATTAACCGGCAGTTGACTTCTGACTTCAACGCAAAAAGGTCTATTAACTGGCAGTTGACTTCTCACTTCACAAAAAAGTCTATTAACCGGCAGTTGACTTCTGACTACTCAAACGGCAAAAAAGTCTATAAACCGGCAGTTGACTTCTGACTGAAAAGGTCTATTAACTGGCAGTTGACTTCTGACTTCAAATAAAAGTCTATCAATCGGCAGTT